CTTTATTTTACTTAAAAAAAAGTAAGTTTTTCAAAATGGATTTTAAAAAAGCTTTTTTCTTAAAAATAATAAAGTTTTTAAAAAAAAAACTTAAAGAAATATTTTAAGGAAAAATTGCTTTTTATGAAAGCTTTTAAGCAAAAATACTTTTCATCAAAGCTCTTAACAAAAATTGACTTTTTGGAAGATTTATGAGAGCTTTTTGAGAAAGTTTGAAGAATTGATATTAAGTATGCTTTTTTCATAAAAGAAATAAAAGTTTAAAAAATATTTTATGTAAAAATTACCTTTTATGAAAGCTTTTTAACAAAGATAATTTTTAAGAAAGCTCTCAACAAAAATAGCTTTTAATGGAGGATTTAAGGGAAATGAATTTCTTAAGAAAGCTTTTAAGAAAAATGCTTCATAAGATAGTTTTTAAGAAAATATCTTTTAAAGGAAGTTTTTAAGAAAAAAGCTTTTTAAGAAAGTTATTTTGAACTTGAAAAAAGCTTTTTAAGAAAGTTTTAAATGAAATGAAAGTTTTTTGAAAAAGCTTTAACAAATATTTTTAGGAAAAATTATCTTTTATGAACATTTTTAAGTAAAAAACTTTTTACGAAAGCTCTCAACAAAAATAGCTTTTAATGGAATGCTTTAAAGAAAATTACCTTTTTATGAAAGGTGTTAAAGAAAATGCTTTTTTAGAAAGTTTTTAAGAAAAAAACTTTTTAAGAAAGTTTTTAAGAGCTTTCGTAAAAAAGTTTTTAAGAATTTTTGTAAGAAAATTTTTAAGAAAGTTTTTTGTACGAAAGCTTTTAATAAAGTTTTTAAGAAAGCTTTTAAAAAAAACTTTTTATGGAAGTTTTTAAAAGAAAGCAAATAGAGTTTTTCAGAGAGTTTTTGAGAAAGCTTTTAAATCCAAATTTATAAAAATTCGTTAAGAAAACTATTAAAAAGCTTTTAATAAAAGACTTTAAAATTGTTTTTTTGTAAATAAAAAATCAGTTTAAGATTCGATTTTTCAAGAACAATTCTTTTTGGGAAAGCTTTTAGATCAAGCTTAATGAATTTTATCTTTTACATGGTTTTTTCAAAACGAAAGTTGTCTAATTTTAGGGTTTATTTGTTTGAGTTTGTATTTAAAACTTTAAATTATAGAATAAAACAAAAGCTTTTACTCATTTCTACATTTCACACATACATAGAAACTAATTTCATGTTATAAGAAAACTTTATATTATTCCTGTTATTAAAATTTACTATTTAAACTAGAGTTAAAATAAAATATTTATTACAAAATAATTTGCTAATGTTGTTAAACTTTAATTACTATTTAAAACTTGTTACAGCTTTTTTAACACTAGTACTTACCTATCTAACTTAACTAACTAAAACTCCAAATAAAAAGCTTTTATGTTAAATCCCTACCCCTTGTTAAACTTTTACCTCTTTATATACAAACAGCTTGTGTTAAACTGTAAACTATGTATTTTTGTTAAGAAAAGCTATATTAAGCTTAACTTAAGCTTTTTCTTTAGTTAAGTAAAACTTTTATGTTAATTTTAAAACTAATTTCTCATTCTTTTCTAATTTCCTTTATTGTGTTATTTTTTCGGTTCTAATTTTATTTTGTGTTTTACTTTTTACTCAAAATAATAGTTAACTACTCTTAATGAAAAAGAAAATAAAAAGAAAAGAGAAACAAAAGAAAACCTAACAATACAAAAGGAATAATAAAAAAAAACGAAATAAAATATAAAATACAACAAAAACTTCCCACTGCGCTTTTATATTTAAAATAAAATATTTTTAAACAAAACAATACAATGAAAAAAATATTTTTCTTTTTTTTTGTTGTTGTTTTAATTTAACAAATAAATTTTCTCTTACAATTTTATGCTCTTAAGTTTTTTTTTTTCACTTTTTTCTGGACTTTAGTTTTTCTTTCCTTCGTTTTTAGTATTTTATTAGATTTCTTTTGTTTCCAGTAAAGCTTTTAAGTGTTTTTTTTAGTTATTTAAGTTTTTATTTATTGTTCTTCTTGTTTTCTTTAACTAAATGTTGAATTGTTTAATGTTTTTTTATTTATTTTTAATATTTTTTTTTTGGAAATGATTTGTGGTGTTTAAGCAAAAACTTATTTGAAATTATTTGCTTTAAGTACCAACTAAAAAGCTTTCAAATTTATTTTTTTAGTTTAGATTTCAATAAATTTTTGCCCTCACACTACCACTTTGAAATTCTTTTTTTAGTTTCATTTTTCTTCAAAAACAAAATCGTAATGCTTTATTTGTTCACTCACCAAAAAAAAATACCAAAAAAAAATTATTAAGAAAAAAAAAAAAACAAAACAAAATGCAAGCTTTTAATACAACAAATTTAAAGTTTTAGTTTTATTTGTTTTAATTTTTTTAAGTTTATATGTGTTTTTGTTGTTTATTTGTATAATTTTATTTAATGTTTATTTAGTTGTTATTTTCAGTTTCAATTAACTAATTGGCCGAAATCATCTCTAAGTTTAGAAAATAAAGTTAAATGTGTGTCAAACAGAGCTTTATCTAAAAATTTAATTTAACAGAAATAACATATTTTAATACTAACTGAAAGTTTTTCTTACAGCTTTAGATAATTACAACAATAGTGGAGTCTAACGATACATACACTTATTCAAATCTTTTCCACAAAGCTTTTAACTTTTAGAGAAACGAATTAAAGCTTTTAATGAAATAAAATTTTAAAGCTTTTTTAAGACTTCTCGAAAAAAGCTTTTAATTAAAGTTGTTTTTAATATTTTAGTGAAATTTTTAAAGATTAATGAAAATAGATGTTTAAGCTTTTACTTAAAAAATTTTTCTGGAAAAAGGTTTCTAAGCTTTTATGGCAAAAGCTTTTACTTATTCGAAAATTTTTTTTAATGAAAGTTCTTTTTAAAAAATTTTTAGAAATTTTAAAAGTTTCATGAAAAAAAGCTTTTACGCAAAAGCTTTTTTAAGCTCTTCCTTTTTCAAAAATACTTTTAATGAAAGTTTTGCTTAAATATTTCTGTGAAATTTTAAAGGTTTTATGAAAAACACTTTTTAAGCTTTTATTGAAGAAGCTTTTCTTAGCTTTTGGATTTTATTTTCTAAGCTTTTATGGAAAAAGCTGTTATTTTGCGAAAAAGCTTTTAATGAAAGTTTTTCTTAAATATTTTAGTGAAATTTTAAATGTTTTATGAAAAAAGCTTTTCTAAGCTTCTATGAAAAAAGCTTTTCTAAGCTTTTATTAAAAAAGCTTTTCTAAGCTTTTATGAAAAAAGCTTTTCTAAGCTTTTATGAAAAAAGTTTTTCTGAGCTTTTATGCTAAAAGCTTTTTTAAGCTTTTAAACAAAAAGCTTTTCTATGCTTGTATGGAAAAAGCTTTTCTAAGATTCTATGAAAAAAGCTCTTCTAAGCTTTTATGAAAAAAGCTTTACAAAACTTTTGTGGGAAAGCATTGAAAGGCTTTCATGGAAAACAGCTTTAAAAAGCTTTCGTAGAGAAGAAGCTTTAAAAAGTTTCTATGATAAAAAGCTTTAAAAAGTTTTTATCGTAAATAGCTCTAAAAAGTTTTTTGGTAAATAGCTTTTAAAACCCTTTGCTAAAAAACATTAAATGCTTTCATTGAAAAGAGCTTTAAAACACTTTCATGGGAAAAAGCTTTAAATAGTTTTTATGGTGAAATGCTTTAAAGAACTTTCATGGTAAAATCTTTAAAGCTTTCTATGAAAAAATTTAAAAAAAAACATTAACAGACTTTCATGGAAGATAGCTTTAAAAGGCTTTTGTTGAAAAAAAGCTTTTAATAGTTTTATGGTAAATACCTTTTAAAAAGTTTTTATGGTAAACTGCTTTTGAAAACATTGCGGAAAACGCATTAAATTACCTTATTGGTAAAAAGCTTTAAAGGGCTTTCATGGAAAAAGTATAGTTTTTATGGTAAAAAGCTTTAAAGAACTTTCATCGAAAAAGACATATTTTTTGAAAGAAAAAAATGGAAAACAGATTTAAAAAGCTTTCGTAGAAAAAAAAACTTTAAATAGTTTTATGTCAAAAATCTTTAAAAAGCGTTTTATTACAATACTTCCATAAAAAAGCTTTCAAAGGCTTTCATAGAAAAAAGCTTTAAATAGTTTTTATGTAAAAAAAGCTTCAAAGAACTTTCATGGCAAAAACATATTTAAAGCTTTCAATAAAAAAAATGTTTTAATATATATTTTTTACAAAATTTTAAAAAGCTTTTTAATCTTTCAATGAAAAAGGAGTAATAGAGCTTTTAATGAAACAAAGTTTTTAGAGCTTTTAATGAAAATGTGATTTAGACCTTTTAATGGAAAAAGCTTTTGAAAGGATTTAGCGAAAAATGGATTTTAAAGCTTTTAAACAAGTTTTCGAACTTTATAAAGCTTCAGATGGGAGCAGAAATACTAATAACAAAAGCTCCTCAAGAAGGAAATAAAATAAGGAAACCAAGAATGCTGGAAAAGCTTTAAAGCTTTTTATAGATTTATCTTCGAAAAACAGCTGAAAGCATTTAAAATCCTTTTAAACTTAGAACATTTTGCAAGAAATGTTTAAATAAGAAAATAATTTAAACAGGAAAGCTCTTAATTTCCCTAAAAGCTCTGTTTTACACATATATTTAACATTTATTCTTTTATTCATTACTTTTATGTTAAAATTTTTGCTTTGAATAACTTTCAATAGAAAAAAGAGCTAAATATTTAATAACATAATATCTTTGTTTTTTCTCTCTTTTTGCCTATACTTCTCTCTCTTTCTCTATCTCTTTGTATTTCGTTCTAAACTTAAAATGCATTATAATTTATATGAAATCATTCTCAAACTATAAACAAAATTAAAACATTTGCATCGAAAAAAAAACTCATCATCTATATTTATGTTTATTTTTCTTCCCCCATTTTATTTCTTTTTCTCTTTTTCGAACTTTCTTTTTTTTTGGTGCTCTCTTTTACTCTTGTGTCTCTCCCCTTAAAAAAGGGCAATGCTGCCAATTCCTCGGAAACTTCAATGGCCACACAGCCTGGTGGTTCGGTAACATCGAGAGCGGCTTCGGAGTCGAGATCAGGACCGCCTGGATCCAGTAGTGGTGCTGGCACTACAGGTAATAGCAGTGGTGCAAATGCGAGTAGTACACAGACTGGTGCAAAATTTCGTCATGGCCTATTGCAGCTTATGATTCACACAATAGATCCGCTACATGATGGTGAGTTCATGATGTTTCCATAGTGTTTTGCACACTCACTACTCACTCACACTCAGTTACACTATTCACTACACACAACCACCGACAAACACACACACACAGTTCCCCCCAAACCACTCCAATCTAAACCCTCCTCAAAATAACAACAACCTCAAGACTCTTTTCACCCTCAATTGTTCCTTTTTTTGAAAAAACAATTAATCGCAAAACAAACCCTTGTTAATATCAATTATCAATTAAAACCTCAAACAAATATCAGTCAGTATTCATTTTCAAAAGCTCTCTCTCTCCCGCCCACTCATTCAGTTTGTACAAAATTTGTTTGAAATTTATTGTTAAAAATTACAGCAAAAGTTTAAATATAAAAAAAAATTATTAAAAAAAAAACGAAAAGAGCTCAAGTTTTTTACTAGTTATGCAAAATATTATTTTCTAATAAAAAAAAGAAATAATAATAAACAGTTTAAGCTTTTTGTCTAAAATATTTAAGAAAAAATTATCCAAAAAAGCTTTTAGTGTAAATGTTATCATTTGCTTTATTTTGAGTTTGAGTTTGTTACGAAATTGGAAAATTGTTGAAATAAAAAACTATTAATTTTTAATTAAAATTGCTTGATTCATGTGTTAAAAAATTAACTTAAACAATTATATGCAGGGTGATTAAACAATATAATAATGAAACAGAAAAAAAAAGAGAAAACTTTCAAGTTTTGAGGGCTTTTAAGAATAATTCAGATAAAAGCTTTATCTATCTTAAAATTTTAGTGTTTCTTGTTAAATATTTACTGTAAATAAACTTACAATATTTTCTAAAATAAGCTTTTTTGCAAAAACTCCACAAGCTTAACTCGAACAAATTATTTAACACAAAGTTTAGTTCTAGTTCAGTTCTAGTTCAGTTCTAGTTCAGTTCTAGTTCAGTTCTAGTTCAGTTCTAGTTCAGTTCTAGTTCTAGTTCAGTTCTAGTTCAGTTCTAGTTCAGTTCTAGTTCAGTTCTAGTTCAGTTCTAGTTCAGTTCTAGTTTCAGTTCTAGTTCAAGTTCTAGTTCAGTTCTAGTTCAGTTCTAGTTCAGTTCTAGTTCAGTTCTAGTTCAGTTCTAGTTCAGTTCTAGTTCAGTTCTAGTTTCAGTTCTAGTTCAGTTCTAGTTCAGTTCTAGTTCAGTTCTAGTTCAGGTTCTAAGTTCAGTTCTAGTTCAGTTCTCGTTCAGTTCTAGTTCTGTTCTGTTTCAGTTCTAGTTCTGTTCTTAGTTCAGTTCTAGGTTCAGTTCTAGTTCAGTTCTAGTTCAGTTCTAGGTTCAGTTTCTAGTTCAGTTCTAGTTCAGTTCTAGTTCAGTTTCTATGTTCAGTTCTAGTTCAGTTCTAGTTCAGTTCCTATGTTTAGTTCTAGTTCAGTTCTAGTTCAGTTCTAGTTCCGTTCTAGTTCAGTTCTAGTTCAGTTCTAGTTCAGTTCTAGTTCAGTTCTAGTTCAGTTCTAGTTCAGTTCTAGTCAGTTCTGTTCAGTTCTAGTTCAGTTCTAGTTCAGTAGTTCAGTTCTAGTTCAGTTCTAGTTCAGTTCTAGTTCAGTTCTAGTTCAGTTCTAGTTCAGTTCTAGTTCAGTTCTAGTTCAGTTCTAGTTCAGTTCTAGTTCAGTTCTAGTTCAGTTCTAGTTCAGTTCTAGTTCAGTTCTAGTTCAGTTCTAGTTCAGTTCTAGTTCAGTTCTAGTTCAGTTCTAGTTCAGTTCTAGTTCAGTTCTAGTTCAGTTCTAGTTCAGTTCTAGTTCAGTTCTAGTTCAGTTCTAGTTCAGTTCTAGTTCAGTTCTAGTTCAGTTCTAGTTCAGTTCTAGTTCAGTTCTAGTTCAGTTCTAGTTCAGTTCTAGTTCAGTTCTAGTTCAGTTCTAGTTCAGTTCTAGTTCAGTTCTAGTTCAGTTCTAGTTCAGTTCTAGTTCAGTTCTAGTTCAGTTCTAGTTCAGTTCTAGTTCAGTTCTAGTTCAGTTCTAGTTCAGTTCTAGTTCAGTTCTAGTTCAGTTCTAGTTCAGTTCTAGTTCAGTTCTAGTTCAGTTCTAGTTCAGTTCTAGTTCAGTTCTAGTTCAGTTCTAGTTCAGTTCTAGTTCAGTTCTAGTTCAGTTCTAGTTCAGTTCTAGTTCAGTTCTAGTTCAGTTCTAGTTCAGTTCTAGTTCAGTTCTAGTTCAGTTCTAGTTCAGTTCTAGTTCAGTTCTAGTTCAGTTCTAGTTCAGTTCTAGTTCAGTTCTAGTTCAGTTCTAGTTCAGTTCTAGTTCAGTTCTAGTTTCAGTTCTAGTTCAGTTCTAGTTCAGTTTCTAGTTCAGTTCTAGTTCAGTTCTAGTTCAGTTCTAGTTCAGTTTAGTTCAGTTCAGTTTCTAGTTCAGTTCTAGTTCAGTTTCTAGTTCAGTTCTAGTTCAGTTCTAGTTCAGTTCTAGTTCAGTTCTAGTTCAGTTTCTAGTTAAGTTCTAGTTCAGTTCTAGTTCAGTTCTAGTTCATTCTAGTTCAATTCTAGTTCAGTTCTAGTTCTAGTTCAGTTCTAGTTCAGTTCTAGTTTCTAGTTCAGTTCTAGTTCAGTTCTAGTTCAGTTCTAGTTCAGTTCTAGTTCAGTTCTAGTTCAGTTCTAGTTCAGTTCTAGTTCAGTTCTAGTTCAGTTCTAGTTCAGTTCTAGTTCAGTTCTAGTTCATTTCTAGCTCTGTTCTAGTTCTGTTCTATGTATGTTATTTCTAGTTTAATTTAAATTTTTAAAAGCCTATCTGCCTTTCATAACATGAACTTTAAATTTTTCTCTCTTTTTTATAATAAATATAAACTACACTTTTTTTCGAACAGCAACTTTAAATAAAGCTCTTTTCAAAATATTAACAAAAATAAGGCATGATTGAAAATGCTTAATATTTATATATAATATTATCAATTATAATTCATGGACATTTAAAACATTTTCATACATTCAACTACAAAAAAGCTTTCAAATGCGCCTTTAAAATCAAACAAACTTACACACCTCCTTTAAAGATCGCTCAAAGCCTTTTCTCTCGCTAAACTCTAACTTTCTCCGTCTATCAATTGTCTATAATCAAAATCCTTTTACAAAAAACCAACAAACCCCCCCCAAAACACACTCAATTCTATGTGTAATATAAACTCTTAAAAGTTTTTATATATAAATTTAATAAAAAAACGATACTGAAGAATTTTATATATAAAAATGCAAAACACTTTTTAAATAAAACAAATACAAATTCCTCTATTTCCTTTTTAATATAAAACTCTATATAACTCTCTATCAGTAGTTTCAGTGTTTGTACGTGCGTTATTTTAAATTTTTTATAAAAAAAAAAATATTGAAAATTTCTGAAATATAAAAATTATAAATAATTTTCTTTAAATTATAAATTAAATGAAAAGATTAAAGTTAAATTTAAAATTTAATTATAAAGAAAACACCAAAAACATATGTATCACCCTGTATATAAAATAATTATTAAAATTATTTTATTTTTATTTTTTTTTAGAAAATCTTTTGTTTAAACAAATTCAAAAGAATATTTCTAAAGAAATATTTTTTTAACCCAACATTTGCGGTTTTCTGTAATTGAACAAAATTCCTTATAATTTGTATGTTTAAAATAATTTTTAGTTGGTTTGATTTTGTTAATATTAAATTAATTCATTTCCAAGAATTAAATAACATGTCATCCTAAACATGTTGTTATAATTAATTAATTAAATAACAAAAACATTTTATTTCATTATTTACCAATATAAATATTTATTAATTTAAAATAATATTTGTGTTGTTTGTTGTCAGTTTGGAGTTAAATTTTAATAATTTTTTAAATGTTTTTTTAAATATTTATTAATTTTAGCAAGTTCTCTGTTAAACCAGTTACAAGTTTTTATTAAAAATTTTAAAGTAGCTTGATTTCAAAAAGATTTATTTATTTATATTTATTAATATGTTAACATCCATATTTTACTTATTTAAAAAAAATATATATTTTAAATTTTAAGTATTATCTGTATAAAACTTAAGTATATTAGAGTATAAATTTAAGAAAACTTTTGCCAAATAACTATACAAAAACTTAAAAATATAATATATGGAACCAAAAAAACAGTTTTCAGAAAAATGTTTTAAGGGTGATTTTTAAATTAATACGAAAATCTTTCAAATAGAGAATTGAACCAGAAAAGAACTAGAAAGGGACTAGAAGTCAACTATACCTTACCTATAACTAAACTAGAACTGAACCAAAACTGAACTATAACTGAACTAGAACTGAACTAGCACTGAACTAGAACTGAACTAGAACTGAACTAGAACTGAACTAGAACTGAACTAGAACTGAACTAGAACTGAACTAGAATTGAACTAGAACTGAACTAGAACTGAACTAGAACTGAACTAGAACTGAACTAGAACTGAACTAGAACTGAACTAGAACTGAACTAGAACTGAACTAGAACTGAACTAGAACTGAACTAGAACTGAACTAGAACTGAACTAGAACTGAACTAGAACTGAACTGAACTAGAACTGAACTAGAACTGAACTAGAACTGAACTAGAACTGAACTAGAACTGAACTAGAACTGAACTAGAACTGAACTAGAATGAACTAGACTAACTAGAACTGAACTAGAACTGAACTAGAACTGAACTAGAACTGAACTAGAACTGAACTAGAACTGAACTAGAACTGAACTAGAACTGAACTAGAACTGAACTAGAACTGAACTAGAACTGAACTAGAACTGAACTAGAACTGACTAGAACTGAACTAGAACTGAACTAGAACTGACTAGAACTGAACTAGAACTGAACTAGAACTGAACTAGAACTGAACTAGAAACTGAACTAGAACTGAACTAGAACTGAACTAGAACTGAACTAGAACTGAACTAGAACTGAACTTAACTGAACTAGAACTGAACTAGAACTGAACTAGAACTGAACTAGTAACTGAACTAGAACTGAACTAGAACTGAACTAGAACTGAACTGAACTGAACTAGAACTGAACTAGACTAGAACTAGAACTGAACTAGAACTGAACTAGAACTGAACTAGAACTGAACTAGAACTGAACTAGAACTGAACTAGAACTGAACTAGAACTGAACTAGAACTGAACTAGAACTGAACTAGAAACTGAACTAGAACTGAACTAGAACTGAACTAGAACTGAACTAGAACTGAACTAGAACTGAACTAGAACTGAACTAGAACTGAACTAGAACTGAACTAGAACTGAACTAGAACTGAACTAGAACTGAACTAGAACTGAACTAGAACTGAACTAGAACTGAACTCGAACTGAACTAGAACTGAACTAGAACATGAACTAGAACTGAACTAGAACTGAACTAGAACTGAACTAGAACTGAACTAGAACAGAACTAGAACAGAA